GTACTAGGGAGGTATAAAAGGAAGAAACAAAGGGTCTCATGAGAGATTTAGGCTCCAGCCACGCTGAAGACAGGACAGCCCTTTCAGCCTGAGGTAGAGTAAGACCTAGTGGCCGGCTGCTTTGCTTTTCTGATCTTCGGCTTGAAGCTTGAACCCCAATATCAGTCTCTGGGTGTTTTATTTTTCATGTTACATAGAGGCTAGACAATCTTGGCTAATTGCTTCGAACTTGTCCTGAGCAGTTTGTAGTTCAAAGCTGATCATTGGGTGGTGTTTGTCAGCTTAGTAGCATTACCACAATCCAGGTGAATTTGCTGTTGCAGGGTCCCCATCATCTTAGAGACCTCAAAGGTAACTTCCAGGAATGGTCACAGGTCACTGCAGAAAATGTAAACATTTCAAATGTCATATGCAGCAGATCTCTGATAGATCCAAAGAATGACAAAGAAATGATCAGCTGACCCTGCCTTTCCATGCTTCCAGATTAAAAAGCTCACACATCTTTCTAACCCCCTCCCTCCTTTCTGTGCCTGCCTATCTCAGACCTCCAAAACCTCTATGACTATTTCTGGCCAGCTGAATGTTGACTCTGTCCTCTGCTCTGATTCAAGGTTTAACTTTATGGGCAGTTTTGGAGTGTCAGTGTCAAAGAAAATCTTCCACAACAACAAAACTCATCAAGCCACCCACCCTCTAGGCAACAACCTGTCCCTGTATCAATTGCTGCCTTCTCTCAAACCAAGCACAGCTTTCATGCCTCCAGTTCTGCTGTACTTACATCACTCCGCTCCTTCATCTTTCCTGCCTTCCCATCACATATTTCTTCACCATAGTGGCATTGGGAGCTGTGGTGTGTCACACAGTATATACACCCTTTTGGCCAAACAGCTTTACTTGTAAATGAATGTTCATTGCAATGAGTCGTTGGCTTGGTTCAAGGCCTCTGGCTTCTGGTACACCATCAATATTGGATCTTCACCAAGACTCCTCTCAGATATTCTGATATTGACCCAAGTCGTGGAGATCCTGTAGCTATGGTTCCCCAGGACCAGGCCCCTCACAGAATCCAGCAGCTGTTAGATGGGGTAGGTGTTGGGTGGGTCAACTCAAGGCCCTGAAAGTAGCTGAGTTAGTCAGTCTGGGTCTCCACTGGCTTCTCCCCCACCCCCAATGCCACTGCCTACACTGCCACACAATGATCAGGGAGGTGAAGGGGCAGCTTTCCCAAGTGCTGTGGTTGGCGAGGGGAGGGGCTAGCTCAGCAAGGCACTGAACATCAACGCGGATTCAGGTGGCAGCCTAGACCATGGACATCCACATGACCCACTGAAGTAGAGCCACAGACCCAGATGATGACGTTGTTTCCGCTGTTTCTTTTTCTCTCTCCTCTCTCCATCACATACTTGCTCCTTGTAGTGGGCCAGTCATAGGGTGGGTGGATGGGCACTGCTGGCCACCCCAGGCTGCCTTCAATGCTCTTCCTCAAGTTGCATTTTTTGTGTTTGTAAGCAGGTACACATGTGAGTGTATGGAGGTTCTTCCCACCATGTGGGTCCCAGGGAACAAGCTCAGGTTGTCAGGCTTTATAGCAAGTACTATTACTCACTGGACCATCTCACTGGCCTCCATACCAACCAAACAACCAAATAAATAAACAGTATTCCAGCATATAAGGAATGGGTACCTACATTACTTCTTGATTCCTGCTACACATACTGATCCCAAACTATACATAACTAGTTCACACAAGTTCCTTTGAAGGACATAGCCAGGAATGACAACTACTCTCATGTGTGTGCATGAGGGTCTCCTATGGTCCAGGCTAGCCTGTGATCCTGGTCTCCCTCCATCCATCTCACAGTGCTAGATTACAGTCACCAGCCACATTGCTCTGCATACATACCCAGTGCTGTACAGCAAATTAATGTTTGCTCCCTCCCCCATGCAAATTACTTTCCTCAGGGGTTGTAGCACTTCCTAACAATAACTCACAGATGAGAATCATGTATCTGGTGAGAGACTGGTTACCAAAATATGAAATCTACTTTATTACTGTAGTGAGGGGTATTGAATACAGGGCTGACACATGGCACAAGCTAGGTTAACATTCTACCACTGAGTCATACTCCCAACACTCCAGAAATAATTCTTTACATGAAAAGATGTACAAGCCAAGAGTGGTGACACACCCTTAATCCCAGCACTCAGAAGGCAAGGCAGGCATGAGTTCAAGGCCAGACTGGTCTACATAGGAAATGCCAGGACAGTCAGAGCTATATAGTGAGACCATCTCAAAAAAAAAAAAAAAAAAGTGTGTACATGTGGTAGTTTGAAAATAAATGCCCCCCAAGGGAGTGGCACCAACAGGAGATATGGCCTTGTTAGAGGAAGTGTGTCACTATGGGGGTGGGCTTTGAGATCTTCCTATGCTCAAGCTATGCTCTGTGTCAGCTTACTTCCTGTTTGTTGCCTGTGGATCAAGATGTAGAACTCTCAGCTCCTTCTCCAGCACCATGTCTGCGTCCATGCCACCATGTCCCACTATGATGATAAACCTCTGAAAATGTAAGCCACCTCAATGAAATGTTTTCCCTTGTAAGAGTTGTCATGGTCATAATGTCTCTTCAGAGCAACAGATACCCTAAGGCAGTGCATATACATATACACATGATTTGCATGTGCATATACATATACAGGGTCCTCATATATACATGAAAATAGGCAAAGTCCCTTAATAAACATAAAGATATATAAAGACACTCAAAATCATTAGCCATTATGAAAATCAAAATCACAGATTTATCACCTTCCACCCACCAGGGCAGCTGTAACACAAACAGGAAGTACAGACAGGGACACAGAGAAATCAGACCTCCCATATACTCTTGGGAAGAAATCTGGAAGTTCCTCGGCATGTTAAAACATGGAGTTCCATGACTTAATGATCTCACTCCTAAGTCTCTAGGAAAAATCACCCACCCAAATTCTTGTATTTTGATTATTCATAGCAGCAATATTTATAACAATCAAAAGTGGTAACATCTTGTAACCATCAAATCATCATTACAATGTATGTGATAAACACACACAGAAATATTCGGTCAAGCTGGGTGGTGGTGGCAGTGGTGGCACACGCCTTTAATCCCGGCACTTAGGAGGCAAAAATAGGAGATCTCTGTGAGTTCGAGACCAGCCTGGTCTGCAAAGCTCCAGAGAAACCCCGTCTCAAAAAAACCAAAACAAAAACAAAAAATCAGTCAAAAAGGGAAAAATGGCTGTCACAACACAGCTAGAGCTTAAAGATAGTGACATAAAGAGGCCAGACACAGAGGTCCCATGTTAGATGGCAGTTGCACTCAAATTACAGCAATGTCAAAGCAGCAAACCCTAGGAGGTGAGAAGCAAGCCAGGAGTCGTCCAGGGCAGAGGTAGCCGGGGAAGTGATGAGTGACCAGGAACGGACACAAGCTTCCGGTGCCCACAGGGTAACAGCACCTGAAGATTCAAGTACTGGACAGCTGAGGTCTGCACAGCTCCACGGTGTGTTAACACACAATGCTACACGGAAAGGACCACACACCGTGTGATTTAGCTCCATTTTGTTTCTAAGAAAACACTAAACATCTATTATCACAGCTTGAGTCCCCAAGCTAGAGCTAGCAGCCCTGCCTTGCAGGCTCTGGTCAAGTTACACGTGAGGGCTGCACCTACAGTCTCTCAGGGGGCTTCCACTTGCTGCTGGCCTGGGGAAGGCCTCTGTCTCCACATGGCCCCTGCAGGGCTGCTCAAGTATCCACACCAAGCCATCCGAGAAGGCAGTGCATCCACATCTTTCATGAACTTTCAGAAGTCACATGGTTCTAACACTTCCTATTGGTGAAACAAGCTAGCCCTATATACTCTGGAAGAAGACTACCCAAGGGCTTGAATACCAGAGAGCAGGGACCAAAAGAGCCACCCTGAAGGCTGGCTACCACACTTGATGCTAATAAAGACCATGATCCTAACAGCTAAGAATTCTGTGACATTCACTGTCTGCCCAGCAGTTTTAAACTCACAGAAACCCATGAGGTAGGCACTCTTCTATTTCACAGAAGGTACAGAGCAGTTAAGCGGCTCACAGGCCACCAGAGTCAGCTTCCAGCAGCACAGCACCACTGCCCACCCTTCCAAGACCACACAGCTCTGCTTCCAGTCTTACGTCCGTACGTGCTGCCCATCTGCATCCCTCAGGCGGCACCAGCTGACACTGAGGTTTCATTTGCCACACTAATGAGTAGCTGCAGAAAATGTAGAGTAGAAAATGGTGTAATGTGCACTCAGTTAACTGGGAGTGAGGCAACACACTTACTAGCTCTCCATACTATCTATTTTCTCCTGTTTTCACAGTTGTCTCTTCCTTCCTGATTTGTGGAGTTGTCATCCACTCAATCCTTCATGAATCCAGTCCCTCATCACGTTACAGACCACCACGTGTTCTCGGGCTCTGAAGGCATTTTTAATTCCGACACGGCCAGCTTTGCAGCAAGGAGAACCCTGCGTTGCGTAGCAGTCAAAGTAGTCATAGCTGGGGTTGACTATGACTTCACACTGGAGTACAGCCCATCACTTGCTCCTACCACATTTTATTATTTGTTGGGGTCACAAACCCAGGATCCCCAACTGAGCCATGATCTAGTTTCATTGCACTACACTTCATCTGAGTCCTTAATTACTTTATGATCGATTGACATGGATCCCATTTCATTTTTGTGCATATAAACAGCTGTTTCTGAGCCTCAGTAGCCACGTTTCCCACTAACATGTAACCCTCACTGCCTTATCACACACCATGTTCCAGCATTCCTGAACCTGATTTAACCCTAAATCCTGATTTGCACAGAAGAATGGTTATATTTGCTAAATTAATAAAAACAACAATCACTAATACTCCCAAGACCCCAAGAAGTTCAATATTTGCTGGAATTCTTTCCCAAGCAGAATACCCAACTAGAAAATGATTACAAAAAATAAATATGTGTTTATTTTTAAAAATAAAAAGGAAAGCACTGGCTAAGAACAAACCCTGGGATAAAGAGGTCACTGTGTCCTGCCAAAGCCAGCCACAGACACCATGGACGCAGCCAAGGTCAGTGCCAAGTCCAAAGGTGAGAAGTGAGAGCCAGCTGCGGGTCTGTCTATTAGCAGTCACCCATCAGAGCCGGAAGCCTGGCTGCCTTTGCTGCCACCACCACAGAGCCTCGGGAATTACATGTCCTCAACACTCCACTTGTAGGCAAGCTCCTCCACAGCTTTCTTGCTGGCGAGCCTAGCAAAGCGCTTCTGTTCAAAGCCATTGGATCTGCAATCAAAAGAGAAATTCTAGTCAGCCAAAACCCTGAATGTTTATTTTAGAGTGGAAAGGGAAGTTATGCAGGGAAACCATCTAAACCATATGCAATGAAATCAAACAACAAGACATACAAATTAACCCCTTCTCAGTCCCTGTTCAGACTCATCTCCCACTCTCAGATGACTACGTCAAACCTCCACTATTCTCGACAAAGGATCCAAACAACTAGGCCTGAAATCCCAGATATTCCAAAGGTTGAGGAAGAAGATCGTAAGTTCAAGGCCTGCATGGGCTAGAGTTAGTTCAAGGTCAGCCTGAATAACTTTATGAAGCCTTGCCACAAAAAAATAGTAAATAGATGGGCATGATGATGAATGTCTTTAATCCCAACACTCAGGAGGCAGAGGCAGGCGGATCTCTATGAGTTTGAGGCCAGTCTGGTCTACAGAGCAAGTGCCAGGACAGCCAGGGTTACACAGAGAAACCCTGTCTGGAAAAAAATAGTAAAATGAAGGCTGGGAATGTAACTTAGTAGTAGAGATAGAGCCCCTGACTAGCATGTGCCAGGCCTGAGCCCAATACACAGTATAAAAACAAAGACTCAACTCACTCTCGGCTGATGTCCACAGGCTCCATAATTTAACCATCCATTAACCATGGCTGAGTTCTCACCAGATGTGAGTGCTATGAAAGTCACAGCTGAGTGACATAGTACCTGTCCTGACAAACTCAGACAGGTGGCACAGACAGATGGGAGTGTGTGTGTGGGGGGGGGGGGGGTAGGGGTAGTAAAAGGATCAGGAAGGACTGAGCAAGCCACTTTGTGGGAATGGCCCCAAGCTATGTCTGAAAGCAATAGATGCACATGCACAGAAACAAGAGCCCTGGTCTGGACAGAGCTCACTAGAGAGGAGCCTACAGTGTGACAAAGGAAGTGGCCATGAGTTAACAATGGAAAGACAGGCAGAGGCCTGAGCTTAGGACATGGTAGGGTGGAGGATTTCATCAGGGGAAGATGGGTTAAAACTGCATTTCAAGAGACTCCTCTGGAGATGTGTAGCAAGAAAGTTACTATAGTGGCCGGTGCAACAGATGAAGGCTGTGATCCCAAGGATGGCAACAGGGACCACATGAGAGGCAAAATCAGTAGGGTTTTCGCTGGCTAGTCACAGCCAAAGGAGGGGGTCAGCATGCCTCACCAGTTAGTAATCAAGGGGCCAGACAAATGAGGATGCTACCCCATGGGCTGGAGCGCACAGGAGGGGAGCAGGGGTAGAGGAATATGCTCTGTAGGCGTCAGCTGGGTCTGAGGCATCTCACTATGCATGGGCAGAAGACTCCACCATGACACTGGACACACTAGCCTGAGTCAGACTACAAATCTGGAACCATGACACACTGAGCTTTGGTGAATCATTATATGCATGCACACAGGACAACCTACCAGCCCAGCCTGTGCAGCAACCAGAGGCAATGTGAGAGGTGTTAAGTGTCCACTGCAGGGGAGACAGTTCAATAGACTATATCAACAGATAAAAATCAACACAAAAATGTAACAGAACCCAAATCTCTACAGTGTATCACTCACAAAGGATCTACCAAATAAACCAACAGGAAAATAACACATACTTAAAAAAATTGTTAGCCAGTTATGGTGTCACAAGCATGCAAATTCAACAGGCAGGAGGCTACGGCAGGAGGAACTTGAACTCAGGCCAGCCTGTGCTACACAGCCAGTTCTAAACCACACTGACCTACAGGATGAGATCCTATCCCAAAAGTGGAGGGAGGGAGGGAGGGAGGGAGGGAGGGAGGGAGGGAGGGAGGGAGGGAGGGAATCCTGTGAATTGAATGTTGCAATCAGCAGAAAGGACTTCAAAGCATCATTTAGATAGATTTTCCAAAAAAAGAGAAAGCTGTCTCTAAATGGGTGAGCAGATGGGACATTTCAGTGGAGACAGGCAAGCCATCAAATGGGAACTCTAGAGGCAAACCAGCTGAGACAAAACACTTACAACTGACAGAAAACAACTAAGATATTAGGACATGGGCTTTGGAAACTCTATTGACACCTTAGCCTAGCAGATTTTATAAAGCACCATCATACCAAGTATATGCAGAATGTATATCAAGTGCAATAGTCACAAGGTAGAATCAAAAGAATGAGAAAATATTCTAAACAAATCCATTATGTATTTCAGAACTTTCTCAATATACCACCATCATCTCAATATGATGGTGCATAATGAAAATATGTCAACATTTGGAAGGTCTGTAAAACTCTGCAAATCTACATGTTACAGATGACTGCTATATGAAATAATACTGCGCAAGGGTAAGATGCAAAGTATAAAAAGATTATAGGCTGGAGAGATGACTCTGAGAGCACTGGCTGCTCTTGTCCCAGCACTGTTCTGTAATTCCAAGCTCAGGGCGTCCTCTTCTAGTTGCCAAGCATTCTTCCTGCACAGACACACATGCAGGCAAAACAACCACACACAAAAATAAACTTAAGAGGGGTGGGTGGTAGTATTGGGAGGAGACCATAAATTATGCAAACGTGGTGGCACATGCCTTTAATCCCAGAACTTGGCATGCAGATCTCCATGAGTTCAAGGCCAACCTGGTCTATAACAAGAGAGTCAGTTGAGTGTCAGGGCTACAGAGAGACCTTGTCTCAAGAGGGAGAGAAAAAAAGCCACAAAGACCATAAATTTTAATGCAAAGTATCAGAAATTCTTTACATGTTTCAGACTCACGTAACAGCCTTGAAGGAGCTAGTTTGTTCTTCCTGTCGCGCCTCCCTTTTCTGCTGGTGCTGTGGTGGTGCACTCTCTTCCTGCACTACAAGCTCAACACACCACAACAGACAAATGCAGAACTCAGGTGTCAGCACATTTGCAAAAAAGTTAAATCAATTCCATCCTTCTGGTTTGTTTAGAAAATAATTAGTTTTCATTAAAAGTAAGAGTAATTGGGCCGGAGAGATGGCTCAAAGGGTAAGAGCGCTGGATGTTCTTCCAAAGGTCCTGAGTTCAATTCCCAGCAACCACATGGTGGCTCACAACCATCTATAATGAGATCTGGTGTCCTCCTCTTCTCTAGTGTTCAGACATACATGCAATGCAGGCAGAATACCATATATAATAAATAAGTAAAAAATTTTAAAAAGTAATTATATTAGCATATAGTGGCTTTACTATTTTATATAGTGAAAAAGTGCTTTTAAAATATATTTATTTTAGCCAGGTGGTGGTGGCATGCACCTTTAATCCCAGCACTCGAGAGGCAGAGGCAGGCGGATCTCTATATATCCTGTCCTCTGACCCTTAGAAAACACTAAACATGGTCAATGTTTGAAGAGGTGGTGCATGAGCTGGAGGTCAGCCTGGTTATGTGGTGAGACATTCTCAAAAACAAAAACAAAAACAAAAACAAAAACAAAAACAAAAGGCAAGGGGGAAGAAAAACATAGAAGATTAAGAAAGCTGGGTGGTGGTCATGCACAGCTTTAATCCCAGTACTCATAAGGCAGAGGCAGATGGATCTCTGTGAGCTTGATGCCAGCCTACAGATGGAGTTCCAGGACAGCCAAGGCTACAAAGAGAAACCCTGTCTCAAAAAACAAACAAATACACACACACACACACACACACACACACACACACACACACACACACACACACACACACACACACACACAAACAAAAAAGGTCAGGCAGAAGAGAAAACAAAACAAGAGGAATCACATCTACCTGTCCACTCCATCCCAGCGGTACCCAGGCCAGATATTGAATCGATTGGGAGGAGGTGCAGGACCACTGTAGCGAGGTCTCACTAAAGACAGAAGTGAGAGAAAAGAAATTAGCTACTGACATAATTTGATTCAGAGCTGGATGGCAATGGGAGGAAATTCTTCATGAGAGTGCCAATTGTCTTGAACCCAACCTTTCAACAGACATCACAGTTGTGTGGGCAGCCTCCTCTGTTGGAAGCTATGTAGAGCCCCCTGACAACTCTCTCTTCAACCATCTCCAGCTCCAGCAACTCCAAGTCTCACCTTTCTTATGCTTGTTCTCCTTAGCCTTGCTCTTCTTGATGAAGTTGGCCATCGGGTCCCCCTCTCTCTCTTGTTCTCTCAACATCCGATCCAGATCTTCATCATCGATGTAGCGGGCCAGAGGCTTCTGCATCTCCTTCATTGCATCCTCTACATTCTGCTGCTGCTGCCGGCTCTGGGCAAGCCTGGGCAAAAAAGAAGCATCCTGGTTGAGAACTCCCTCTTTGTAGGTGCAGAGGTTAACTAATATGGTAAAAGCCCAGAATCACAACTGGCGGTATGGAACCCACCATCTCTCAGGAAACTCAGCACCTCAGGCTCATCCCCATGCCAGTTTTGTGCTAAGGGGTGCACTAACCCTTTCCCCCACTGGGCATAGAGCTCATCTCGCTCTGAGTCCTTCTCTGCTTTTCTCCTCTGCTCCAGGCGCTCCAGCTTCAAATTCCTCTTCCTACCAGACTTGTCTCGAAATACAGTTTCAGCGAATTCAAACTGAGCTATGAAGGGAAATGACATTTTTAAGATAAACACCAGGCATCACAATCAAATAACACTCTAGCACTTGAACCAGCTGCTTGGGATCTTGGTGCTGTTGAGAAGTCTGCAGTCGGACCACAGTGGCTCCTAACAACGTATGCACACGGAAGGGAAAGAAGTGCTTGGACTACTGAGGTTAAAGCACTGCACCAAAACCAGAGCAGGAGCTAGGCAGTGGTGGCGCACACCTTTATTCCCAGTACTTGGGAGGCAGAGGCAGGCACATCTCTGTGAGTTTGAGACCAGTCTGATCTACAGGAGCTAGTTCCAGAACAGTCTCCAAAGCCACAGAGAAACCCTGTCTCAAAAAAAACTTAAAAACAAAAAACAAAAGCAATGAAAAGTTTCAGCTAGCAAATACAACATGCCACACTTAAAAACAGAAAAGACAGGCAGCTACCAGAGCCAAAAGAGGCCCCCGAACGCTCACGTTTGTACCTCCAAGGGCCGTGGTGTCTTGATCCTGTTTCTTGAGTTCTTGCTGCTCCCGCTGAACATCAGTTACCAACCCAGTTTTCGCTCCAGAATACATGTGTGCAGTCTGTTCAAGAGAAGAGGAATATGTGTGTACAGTCTGTTCAAGAGAAGAGTCAACAGCCAATACCAGTAAACCAGGAGGCAGCCAGCTGCATGTATGTCTGATCATCAGCAATAACCAAAGTAAAACCTCTAGTTTCATACTCTCATTATTGACCATAGGCTCACACTAGAGGAGAAATCTTTAACACTTTATACTATCAAATTTTAGAGTAAACAGAAACACAAACACACATCACATAAAAACAGAGGCTAAAAATGTGCATACTTTCTTTCTCTTTTTAAGACAGGGTCCCAGCCAGCCTGGTCTACAGAGCGAGTTCCAGGACAGCCTCCAAAGCCACAGAGAAACCCTGTCTCGAAAAACCAAAAAAAAAAAAAAAAAAAAAAAGAAAAGAAAAAAAGTGGTACCTGACTGTCCTATCAGGTGGGAAGAGGCAAACAGGTCAGAAGTTCAAGGCCAGTCACTCAAAACAAATAAGAAAAAACAGGGAGGCTTTCTGGAGATACTGAGACTTGTAGCATTACAAGGCTATAAAAGGCAGGAGACTCCTGGGAAATCTGGCATGAGCCTGGCACTCCTGATCCAAAACTGGAAATCCACAGCAATCCATAATCCAAGACAATTTGAGTATCATTTTGTGCAGTATCTATAAAGTCTTAGAACCTTCAAGCACATGGAAAAGGCGTTCTCAAGTCTCTGCTTACAAGTCTAGCTCAGATGAGTCAGAGCCATGCTGCCTTCAGAGAGAAAGTCCCAGAAGTGCTTTTAACTCGCTGCACTGCATCCCGACTCTCTGGTGGCAATCTTTTTGGTGTCTGTAAAGCTAGAAGGGAGGAGTCACTCTAATAAAGATACAAGTCCTGGAAATCCCTACCTTCTTCCCGGGACGGGGACTCCTTCGAGGAGGAGAGAGATCAGAATCAGAAGATTTGGTCCTCTGTCTTCTCCGGGGCGGAGAGAGGTCAGAATCAGAGCTCCGGTGTCTCTGTCTATTCCGTGGTGGTGACAGATCTGAATCAGAATCCTGGTGTCCTGAATTTTGTTTTTGCCGTGGAGGAGAGAGATCTGAATCAGATGTTTTTTGGCAGACACCTAGGTAGAAAGGAGCCATCAAAGTGTGCTTGCTGTTTCCAGGGAAGGGTTTACATGAAATCTCCTGTGGCTAAGAGAACCTAGGGGTTAAGAATGTATTAAGGATGTGATGGCTCAGGAGTTAAGTGGACTTAGTGTGTCAGGCCCTGGTTCTGGTCCCCGCACAGAGGAGAGGGGGGGCGAAGAAACTAACCCATCAGAAAAAATGTTCATGTGAACTTACCAAACTGGGGCACAGTGTCTACTTAGCCATCCTATGAAAAACCATGACTAACCAAAACACAAGCACAGGTGACATGGAGCACAAAGAAGTAAGTGGCTCTGTTTCTGGGCTGGCAGTGTCTGGTGACTTTGAAAAGCATGTGAGATCTCACACACTCATCTATACTGCCAATCTGTCCAGAACCAGCAGAAGAGCTTGGAGTCAGTCCTCTGTTTTACAACAGAGATAGGAAGGCCTGGATGTTCTCAGACTCAAGAATAACAAAGTAATTTAATTTTAAAATTAAAACAGAGCTGGGCGGTGGTGGTACATGTCTTTAGTCCCAGCACTTGGGAGGCAGAGACAGGTGGATCTCTGTGAGTTCGAGGCCAGCCTGATCTACAAGAGCTAGTTCCAGGACAGCCTCCAAAGCCACAGAGAAACCCTGTCTCGAAAATAAATAAATAAATAAAACGGTAGCTAGAACAAATGAAGGAATAAGAAACTCTGCATAGGTCTGTTCTAGATTACCGTGTCATTGTTCACCTCCTGAAAAGCAACCCTGTAGTAGGTACCAGGTTATAGCAATGGCCACACACTCTGACCTAGCAAACAACTGTTCAGCTTTCTAGGAACCTATCACTTACATCCCCAAGAGATCTAAGATGAGAAACAATCCATAGTTGTTCCAACAGGATGGTTGTCAACTATCCTAAGAGCAAAGCTAGAAATAATCCAAAGCAAACAATCTCAGGGAAATGGTTAAATCAATTTATGTAACATAAAGAAGTTAAGAAAAAAAAAATCACAGTAACGTCAAGACACCTATAACCCAAGAAAAAACTGTTGAGTGGAAGGGGCAAGCAAGATTACACATGCAACATGCATGTTTTGCACAGCCATTTCTGTATATTCTGAAGCTCCTGCAACCCACATAGGATTTTTCATTTTAGTTTGTTATTACTGAGTGTGTGCATGTGAGGGCAGGCACCCACATGTGGAGGTCAGAGTCAGTTTTCTCCTTTCAGTGCACAGGTACAGAAAATGCTTTTACCCATTAAGACACCTCGCCTGCCCCCTAGTGCCTTTTTATGGAGTAGGAAGGACAAGCAAAAGCACATTAAAACTTGCCTCCCTACCCTGTAAATTTTCAACTCTAAGCCTAGCCTCTCTTGTTTAGAAACGTTTCCAAAGAAACTCATTCTCATACTCACAGGGACAAAGCTCCTCTTACACACAGCTATGTGCTCACCTTTAGAGTCAAGCTGCTTCTTAGCTCCAACATGAGCTTTCGCTTGCCGTCTCCGTGGAGAAAGGTCAGAGTCATGTCTGTACTTGCTGTTCTTGGAGACTGATGGGTGAGAGGGTCCCTGGCCCCTCTGGTGTACAGTCTTGCTACAGGATCTTTCTGCAGCTTTACTGCTTTTGGTTCTGGGCAGTTCCAAATCAGGGGAGTCATGACGGGTCCTCCTGAGATGCTGTGGGTCTGAAGCATCAACAGTCCTCCTATTTTGGGCTGTGTCAGGGGAGTGGTTATGAGCCCTTTTTGGGGAAGAGATACCTGAGGAACCATGATGACCTCTCCTAGGAGATATACCTGAAGAATTACGATGAGACTTCCTGGGGGGAGAAGCATCTGAGTCATGGCGGACCCTTCTGGGAGATGTGTCTGAGTCATGACGGGATCTCCTTGGGGGAGATGGATCTGGGGTATCATGACGGGATCTCCTTGGGGGAGATGGATCTGGGGTATCATGACGGGATCTCCTGGGAGGAGATGGATCTGGGGTATCATGACGGGATCTCCTGGGAGGAGATGGATCTGGGGTATCATGACGGGATCTCCTGGGAGGAGACGGATCTGGTGTATCATGGCGGGTCCTCCTGGGAGGAGATGGATCTGGGGTATCATGATGGGATCTCCTGGGAGGAGATGGATCCGGGGTATCATGGCGGGCCCTCCTGGGAGGAGATGGATCTGGGGTATCATGGCGGGCCCTCCTGGGAGGAGATGGATCTGGGGTATCATGGCGGGCCCTCCTGGGAGGAGATGGATCTGGGGTATCATGGCGGGCCCTCCTGGGAGGAGATGGATCTGGAGTGTCACGACGAGCCCTCCTAGGAGGAGATGGATCTTGGTCATCATGATGGAAATGTCCATCTTCACTATGGTCTAAACACAAAAGCAAACAGTCAGATCCCCCAGCCCTCCGTTCACATCTCACTCAGTTTAAAAACATGCCCCAGAAACACACATCTCTGAATTACTTGAAAAGGTCTACCTGGCTCTTGTGCTTAGGGGCAGCAAACCAGCACTCACAGACAACCTAAAGAGTAACTCCTCTCATTTGCCTTCCAAGACCTACAGTAAGCAAGGCAGGTGATCTTGTCTAATAGACATGAAAAAAAAGGTTCTGGGAATTCCCCAAGGTCACCATTACTAAGAGGAGACATGTTCCAACCCAGTTACTTCACTCGCAATCCAATTCATTTCCCAATGATTCCTGTTGCTATGCAGCATAGATCATTTACAGGTTTACTCACTCCTTTTCCAAAAGGCACAGTGACTAAACCTGCACATATCAAAATGAAATGTACTAAGTATTTAATCCATGTCATTACATTCCCCCTTTAAGGAGGGAAATCAACAGAAAAAAAGAAAAATCAAACATAATTGCTATCTACTGTGTAGCAATGCTTTATACAAATCCCTTAATTCTTACAAGTCTGGGATATAAACATCACCAGTCCCCCTTTATAGACAAAGTCACTGACACAGAGAATCAAGCAATCTGCCAAAGTTATACTGCCAACGGGTGGTGAGGTAACTCTCTAAGAGCCAAACCTGTGTGGGCTCCACAGTCCATGGGCAATCTTTAGAAATATGAAACCGAGGGGAAACATGCTGTTTAAGAGTCTAGACTTTTAAGCCGGGCAGTGGTGGCCCATGTCTTTAATCCCAGCACTTGGGAGGCAGAGGCAAGCGGGTCTCTGTGAGTTTGAGACCAGCCTGGTCTACAGAGCAAGTTCCAGGACAGGCTCCAAAGCCACAGAGAAACCCTGTCTCAGGGAAAAGAAAAAAAAAAGAGCCTAGACTTTCCGAGGCAATGCAGATAAATATCCCGGCAACTGGAGCATTTCTAGATTCCAGTTCCTCCTCTCTATTTCTAGCCATCAGAGTTCCATGGCCCAAATAAAAATGAAAGGTGGGCAGGACCTGATGAATTCTTATTAAACAGATAATTCAAACCAAATCAACTCTCCTTCACTTTGGGGAACAGCCTATCTGACTAGACTGATGCCAGTGAGGAAATGGACAACGAATCTAATGCCCGAGGCCAATCAATCAATCCCATGTACAGAAACGGAGGAAGGGTAGGATGTCAGATTGGATATCCCTAGTAACAAACTGAGGCAGGGTAGTAAGAATAAGGCAGAAGAAAAAGGACTGTGTGTTTGCGCATGTGCATTTGAGAGACTTCTTAGACATGCTCTCTCTCTCTCTCTCTCTCTCTCTCTCTCTCTCTCTGACAAGTAATGCAAAAGACAGGAAAACAACCATAAGGCACAAAATAATGAGTCAGACTAAAAACAATTCTGATAAAGTAGTCACGAGAATAAAAATTTCACTCATGAAGCTAAGTGACAAGGTAATGCACTGAAACTGAGGAAATAAATAATCACTGTGCAGTCCACAGTGGCATTTCTGGAGTGCAGTCTTTTCCATCAGAGCTGCAGGGTAGTTAGCCTAATGGCACAGAGGCTAACACAGGAAGACAAATCCCATATAGAAGCCAATTCTTTCATTACCTGTGTGCAAGAACTGAGCAAGCACCAGGAATACTCTGTAGTTAAACAGGTCTCAAGAAGTAAGACCCAAGCATAGTGGCCTGGACTGTGAGGCCCTGTCTCAAAAGTTTAAAAGAAAAGCAACAGAAGTGGGGAACGGGAGACGGGAGAGCCTTGTTTATGAAAAGCCAGAAAACGGCCATAAACCAAAAGGACACAACTCTGGGCCCTAACTCGTGTGAGCTGCTTCATTCCAGAACAGTGGGAAGCCTGGACCTCCGTGCTCTTCCTGTTTCTTTATAAACTCCTCCCAAGGTCCTGCTATCTACCAACTGCTCCCTGTTGTGGAAAACGGAGGAACCGGTCTAAAAGGCTTCTAAACAGTCATTCTGACAAGTCAGCCTCTAAGCCCACATCCTCCTCCAAAGCCTCGACACCTTTTTCCCACCATATTTTTCACAATCACCGACAATGAAACAAACTGTGCATGTCTCTAGAGCAGTGGTTCTCAACCTCCCTAATGCTGTGACCCTTTAATACAGTTCCTTTTGCTGTGGTGACCCCAACCATAACATTATTTCTTGCTACTTCACAACTGCAATTTTGTAAATATCTATAATGTAATTTGTAATATGAAATAACATAATAGCAATATAATATAATAATATCTGATAGGCAGCCCCCAAAGGGGTCATGACCCATAGGTTGAGAGCCACTACTGTAAAGCAAGAAGGTTTATAGGGACCTACCTTATAAACAAGACGTTTACATTTATCTGCTGTTGATACTCACCTCCCAGAAGCCTCCATTTGGCACTGGAACGAAAGGCCTCCATCTGCTTTACTTCTTCTGGACGCTCATCCACAAACTCAGCCACCTACAGGAGTAGGACACTACAGTAAGGAAACAAAAAGCAGAATCCGGCCAAGGAGTACTTGTCTCAAGAACCTGGAACCATACCCAGTCCTGTTCCTAATGCACACAGTGTCCACATACCCTTGTAGCCATAAGGAAACATGCAGCAATGCTCAGTTATTCTTGTCCCATGAACACTGTCACTTTGATGACTTAACTGCAGACCTTTCTCTGACTCGTAATCTCCCTCCAAAGATAAAATCATTACAAGCCTTTTTAGTAATCATGTTGGCACACAACATCCACTTGTAAGAGAAAAGCTCAATTCCTTTACACTATTATTCATGCACAGTGAAAACGCTGCCTTCCTAACTTACCAGTCACTAATCACAGATTTTGGCCTTTATGAAACCTTCCCTGTGAGTAGTAACAATGATAGGTCCTGAATCCAACTGGCCATACACCAAATTACAGAATGTTCAAGGACAACCTCCAAACTTCCTAATCAATGATCATGATCACTCACAGAATTCTCCCTGATGGAGAGTTCACCTTTCAAGTCAGACCACAATAAGAGTGCTAGAACTTTCTTAGTTTTACTGGACCCACATCTACCCTGATATAACTTCTTTTCCTCCATCCTAACTCTGACCTCTGATTCCTTTCCAACCGAGAGACCGTCTAAGAGGTTGGCATAAATAAATTGTTGTTACAGAGAACAGCTGTGCAAGGCACTATTTCACAATTATCGTATTCAATCCTCACCATAATCCTGACCACTGACCAGCAAACAGTGCCTCAGAGAAGTGAAATAACCAGTCATTATTCCTCTGTAGAGCTTCTGCTCCCCAAGTCCCACCATCATTCCTCATGTAGTCGACGCTCAGCTCTATCCCAGGGCACTGAAAGCATGGCTTCAGTGTGAGATGACCTGAGACCCTCACTTAGCCTTGGTGTGACCTTTGGCAAAGTATCTCAAGTCTCATTGCCTTTCCTTTCTTTTTGTTTGTTTTTTAAAACAGGGTCTCTCTGTAGCCCTGGATGTCCTAGAACTCACTCTGTAGACTACATTTTGGGTATACAACTGCTAGGGTTATGGAGGAATACCCTGAGACTTGGGGGTCTAACTGGGGGTGTTGAGAGCTTGGTGGTGGGTATTTTAATAGTTAAGAGCTACATAAGTAGTAAGCTATAATAGAGTTGAGGTGGTAGCAGAATTTAATAATATAAGTGGGTAGTTAATGAAAGTGATGAGGTTGGACCTCCTGCCTCTGCCCCCGAGCGCTGGATTAAAGGTGTGCACCACCACCTCCTGGCTCATCGCCCTTATTTCTAAAAGCAGGACTCGAAGGACTGCTCTGAAGATTGAATGAGATCCTTTGTGCTCACTTAGCAGTGCTTGGTACTAAATAGACTAAGTCTCAGCCATTCTTACATGCAGAGAATTGTTGGTTTCTCCTTGTGATCACGTAATTCATTTCCACTGCCCATCATAAGACTATCATACCCAAACAGTGCTAGCCTGGATGACGGAAATTCAAAACCATTTATGCTGAAACACCACCGCAGTCAAGTCACTGCTTTGGAAAGCATTTGTGTAAGCACCGTGGATGAAAACAGTGCTGCACAGTTCTTTGCATGCCACCTCTTCCCTTGCTCAGCTTTCCCCTACAGCTCTACCCACACGAGGGAGTCACGGCTGACACGCTTGGATCATTCCAAAGTCCTGACAAGACTCCAAAAGATACATACCACCGGCAAGTCTCCATCTTCTTCCTCTTCCTTTTCCGGCTTAGTGGTAGAGATAGCTGCCCAGCCCACATCATCATCAACAATCCGCATTCTAGATGGGAACAATAAAAGGCTCAAAAAAGAACTCATTCTGGGATACACGCCTACGTATACTTACCTATAGATTTTTGCATTTATTTATCCTGTGTGTGTATATGTGTGACGGTGTGTGTACACGTGTGTGTACACGTGTGTGTACGAGTGTGTGCGCAAGTGTGCCACAGAATACATATGGAAGTCAGAGGACAACTTGCAGGAGTCAGTTCTCTCCCTGCACCATGTGGGTTCAGAGGCCTGAACTCAGGTTGTCAGGCTTGTTGGTGAGCATTGAGCCTTCTCACCTATTGGCTTTTAAAGCTCAGAAGTACGGCTCAGTCTTTGTGGACATGGACTCCTACTTCAGTTCACTCCATCGTTGTCCATCTTTTTGTTTGGCTTTGGTTTCTGGAGACAGGTTTTCTCTGTATAACAGCCCTGGCTATCCTGGAACTCGCTCGAACTCAGAGATCTACCTGCCTCTGCCTCCCAAGTGGCTTTACACTTTCACATTGCTGTTCATCACTGAAGGAAGTCAAGACAGGCACTCAAACAGGGCAGGAACCTGGAGACAGGAGCTGATGCAGAGGCCATGACAGGTGCTGCTTACTGGCTTGTTCCCCACGGCTTGCTCAGCCTACTTTCTTATAGAACCCAGGACCATCAGCCCAGAGACTGCACCACCCACCATGGGCTGGGCCCTCCCTCATTTCACTGAGAAAATGCCCAACAGCTTGGATCTCATGGAGACATTTCCTCAGCTGAGGCTCCTTCCTCTGATGATCCTAGCTTGTGTCAAGTTGACCTGCCAGTACACCATCTAAGTTGCAGTGGGCTTTGTAAGTAACCTAGAGACGATTTAAAGAGGATGGGAATAGTTTCTCCACAAATACTGTATCATTGTGTGGAGGAACTTAGGTTCTTGTGGACTTGAGGAACCAGTCTACCAACTACCGAAGGAATGATGACACCCAACAGAAGTGATTCACACAGTTGAACTATGCTGCAAAGAGATATATAGGCTCAACTGGTAACACCACAAACATAGGTGTCATGCTGAAGTTCCAAATGAAGGTAAATTTGGGCAAAGAGGGAATTAGTCTACCCACTTCAATGGGCCACAAATTTTTCTCAGCAGAGATGTGAGAATAACACTGTCAGCTCACGATGCTTCCACATAGAGGGGTGTGAGCCACACTATATATTCTATCTAGCACCTTCTCTAAGCTGCTAAGCTCCTAGCAAGCAGCAGACCTAGGGCAGGGTGTAAGAATGGGATTAGCTTCCAGAGTTTCTCGACCTTGTATCCAAAATAGTACCTTCTTAGCAAGCTGCTAAACTTAGGGTCTCTGCTCAACAGTCTATACATCATTTCCTTTTTCTCTGTGGGCTGATGTTGGATCTCCTATCCCAACCTTTCCAAGTCACTACAGGACATGTCATCCAAAATCTGTCTCAGTACATCTCTTTCGAACCTGGAAAGCAGGTTATTTAAAACAATGTCTACCTCACCACAATGTACTGAAAGTTATATGCTCAAAGTTTTTAGAGAGAGGCCAGGCACATGATAGGAACTGTACCCATATTAGTCGTTCACGTTAGTGGTAGGCAAGAATAACAGGAGTTGGGTCTTTGGTGCCAGATCAGTTCCTGATACTTTGAAGGCCCCAGAAACAGATTTCTGAATCCTAAAATTAAAAAAAAAAATTCAAGCACTGAGGCTTTGAATTAGTTCTACTACTCACGGGCCACGACTTTTCAATCTGTTTGAGGGACGATACAAGACTATAGTAAAGGCGGGAAAACAGTGAGGAAAGTTCTAGCTGGCTCTGACGCATGGAAGGCACTGCTCAGAGGACGAGGTCTGAGCTGCTGGTGGCAGCGACGAGCCGGCTCGGGAGCAGCAGAGCCAGGCCTGGGCTCGGGCCGGGGTCGGCAGCGCTCGGAGCGCCGCGCGGGCGGGGAGGAGGAAGAGCAGCAGCCGAGGGCGCAAAGGGGCAGCGCGACGCCCCACCAGTCCACTCACCCCTTGCCACCGGCACCTCCCGGCTTCGGCCGCTTTTTGCGCCGCTTCCGAACCGACTCTGGACCTCCTTCTGGGCCGGCATCTGACCCAGACAAGTAACGCTTCAGATACTCAGCCTTGGAGACCGGCGGAGCTGCCGCCATGGCAGCGGCGAGGGCGGAGCAACGGCTCGGCGTGGGGGACAAAATTCTTCTACGGGAAACGGATGGGGGTGGAGCCAGAAGCGGAAGCCCTAGGAGTGGCATGTATGGAACTACAGGGGTTGATAGTTACAGGTTCGGTGTGGGCAAGGGAGGTGCACGCATGCATCTTAGGGCCTGGTCTGCTTTCCTGTGACGACGAGGCCGTGAACCCCCTCAGGCTGACTTAACTAGATCCTGCCCTGACGACTTCTGCCCCAGAGTGGGGAAGAACCAAAACTCAGGAGATCAGAGCGGTTTGAATATGGGACCGGTCATAACTACCACGGGGGGCAAGTTATTGAACAGCATTTAATAACGGATGCTGTGCCAAATGCTTAGAAGGGTCCAGCAAATTCGTTTCAGCCTTTTGTTTTTTTGTCACATATCCACCTTTATTGTAAACAGCAGATGGGACACAGGTAACAATGGTAAAGAAAAAAATTAATTTACAAAAGCAGGGACTTGCCGAAGCTGCCTGGTGGGTAACCCTTGAGGACTCATACATAGATGCCAACCCAGAGCAGGAGGAGGATTCCAAAACCCACGAAGAGTTAGGCCACCAATACTTGTGTGTACTTGGTGGAGGTGACCTTGTAGACGAAGAACCAGGAAGTGAAGTACCACAATCCGGTGTGGGAAGACAGCTGGGTTGACCCGGCTGGTGTACCTACTCATGACCTCCAGCTCTTTTGCCCTGCACAATAAACCACTGGTAGAACTATTTCAGTTATTTTTATCGGTATAAATACCTTTTGGTAGACAGTCTGCTGGAACAGGCTTCAAGTACCATTTAGGGCAAGTCAAACAAATGCCACCCCCAATATTGTGACTATGAAAAGTGGATTAGTTTCATCCAACCTGTATTGACCTTTTCACATTTGGTATTGTCTCTCAAGAAAATAGTATACAATCTTCCCAGTTAAAATGACATGGATTTATTGTCAGTGTGGCAAAGAAAGGAAAGCTAGGAAGATTCTCTATTTCTCCTATAGAGGGTTAGGTGTTTTGTGATTCTTCTCTTGACCCTCACAATTCTGTTTCTTCTTCCATCCAGCACTGGGGATTGAACTCAGGGCCTTGCACATAAGCAAGAGTTCTATAGCAGAACTACTTCCCCCACCCCTTTCTGAATTTTGAGGACATGACCTTGCTAAGCTGCCCAGGCTGATCTTGAATTTGTTAGCCTTCTGCCTCAGCATCCCAAGTAGCTGGACTACATACCAGCATGGCCAAGCCTTCAGCTTTGTTAGCCTTCTTATAGGTGATAACTTTGGACAAATATAGAAGCAAACTCATTCTCATACTCACAAATTCCGATTTTTCTAGCAGAGGCCAGCCAAATACAGTGCAGGACGTTATTCAGTTTGGGTTTGTTTTGTGACAGGGTTTCTCTGTATAGCCCTGGCTGGCCTGAAACTCAGAGATCTGCCTGAGTGTCAGGATTAAAGGTAGGGAGTGATACAGGACAGCCAATGACCTCCTCTAGCCTCCACATGCATACATTACATACATGCACACACATTGCATACACGCATACACATATTACATACGTGCTCACACATACACACGAATACACAAATCATTACATATGTGCCCACAGATATATACATATACATAGATCATTACACACATGCACACATATTACATGGGCACACGAGAACACAGACACACACACACACACAAACTTTGAAGTTTGAGTCATTTGCTAACCTGGACTTCAGACTCTTAATTAAAAAAACCACTCACTTCCGGGCATTGGTGGCACATGCCTTTAATCCCAGCACTTGGGAGGCAGAGGCAAGCAATCTCTGTGAGTTCAAGGCTAACCTGGTCTACAAAGCGAGTGCCAGGACAGTCTCCAAAGCTACAGAGAAACCCTGTCTCAAAAAACAACAACAACAACAAAAAAACCCAAACACAAAAACTATGAACGTCCCTTCCCATTTTACTCTGATGTTCTTTCCCTCATCTGTCATTGTCAATTCCCCCTCTAGACTTTTTGTTTTTTTGAGACAGGGTTTCTCCATGTAGCCCTGGCTGTCCTAGAACTCACAGCTTGCATCTGCTGGGATTAAAGGTGGATGACACCACTCCTGGCTTCCCTAGTTAGACTTTAAGCTCCATGAAATGGATGGATCCATGCAGGTCGTCCTGGCTCAGAGTAGACAAGCATGGTCTGTTGGAATGAATGAAATGCTGCCTCTGGCTGCCCCATGACAGCACCACCTGAAGAAAGACTTGTTTGGGAGCTAATTTTTTTCTTCCTCTTTTCCTTTTTTGAGGACAGAATCTCACTACATGGCCCAAACTGGCCTTAGTCTTCATGACTAGCTAAGGCAGCTGGATTCTTTTTTTGAGACCAAATTTCTCTGTGTAACAGCCCTAGCTGTCCTGGAACTAGCTCTATAGACCAGGCCTGCCTTTGCCTCCCAATTGCTGGGAATAAAGGCATGTGTACCACCACTACCCAGGGGTAGCTGGATTCTAACAGCAAGATAACCGGCAAGGACACAGTGACTGCAGAGGCAGGTGTCGTTTAAAAGCCACCACTTTAATGTAAGTTTCTCCACCTGTGGACATACCCACCTTCCCCAGTTCTTTCCTGCTGAGAGGTAGGAAAGCCCAAAGACAGCTGTAACTTGTACTTAAGAGCTGCAGCACAGGAGGGCAGAGAGCTGACAGATATAAGGTGATGATAGACTACACGGTGTTTCTAGGGTTCTTCTCAGACAGACTTAAAACCTCCGAAAGAAGGTCAAGGAGCACAGGTCTGCAGCTGCGTCGCCAGCTGCTCATCTCACGTGTTTAGATCTCTAGCTCAAGCGATATTCTCGTCACCATAGGCAGGGGCTTGGACGCTCATCGTTTTCCGACAGTCATAAATAAGCCTGTGGTGCTGGTGGCACTGAAGCTGGCCTGTGAGCTGTGCACTGCTACCGCTGTGGAGCCAGGCCTGCCTCATAGCCCTCCGTCTTCATGTCATTGAGCCCCAGCTCCTCATTTTGGTCAAAGGAACGCTTGTACCGCTCTACCTTCATCTCCGGATCATCTTCAGGGGCATACACATTCTGCAAGGCCAAGGGCAGACAATCAGTGCTCTGCATCCACTGTCCCCTCCCACAGGTGCAACTGACTCTCAGCTTTCTAAGAACTCCAGGGAATTTGTAGGGCCTCTAGTAACCATGCCACATAGTTTATACATACATACATACATACATACATACATACATACATACATACATACAACCCCCCCCACACACACACATTGCTAGTATCAAATCCAGGACTCTGTACATGGTATACAAGTGTTCAATCAATGACCTACATCCCCAGTTCTAGGTAGTTTTATATATGGACATTTTTATAAAAATAAATGTAGCCAAAGATGGTGATTGCTTGTAATGATGGCTCTCTGGAGACAGGCAGAAAGATTACAGGTTTAAAGCCAGTCAGGCCACATAACAAGGTCTTGTTTCCAAAAGAGAAAGAGGGTAGGGGGAAAGAGAGGGAGAGAGGGAGGGAGGAAGGGAGGAAGACAGGATACAGTAAAAGTCTTGATAATAACTCAGACCAGTTTTGCCAGCTCCATCAGTACTCATTAATATTGAAATTAATATTAAAGTAAGGATGAGGCCCTGGGTTCAAACACCACAAACAACAAAATATTGCTAAAGTTATATCAATTAACAGATGCTTGCCCAGTCAGTTTAACACCTCTCAGCATTCCTGTCCTGACCTCTAGACAGGACTCTATTGCCCCTTACTTCAGTCAGAGACACAGAATGGAAACCTCAGAGCTGAGGAAAGAGTAAGAGCCAGGCACAGGAAGAAGAGAAATTACTTTCTTACTTTTAAACTTGGGGTTTTGAGCATGCTAGTTGGGCAGGCAATCATTTCACTCTTTCTGTTTTGTTTTTGTTGTTGTTTTGTTTTATTGCACAGTTGTGTGATCTTGGAGTTACAGACAGTGGTGAGATGTTATGTGGGTGCTGGGAACTGAACACGAGTCCTCTGGAAGAGCAGCCAGCGCTCTTACCTGCTGAGCCATCTCTCCAGCTCCCACTCGTCTCTGTTTTTAATGATTTATTTACTTTGATTTTTTTCTATGGATTCTTGTTATATCTGTGGGAGGGGATTGGATCCCCTGGAACTGGAGTTACAGACAGTTGTGAGCCTCCATGTGGGTACTGAGAATTGAACCTGGGTCCTTTGGAAGAGCAGTCAATGTTCTTAACTACTGAGTCATCTCTCCAACCATAGGCACTTACTCTGAGCTCCTTTTTTAATCTTGAGACAGTCTCACTAAATTTCACAGGCTGGTCTTGAACTTTCACTTTTTATAGCCTCCTGAGCAGCTCAGATTACAGACCTGCACTAGGTCTGACCTATTTACCTTTCATTACACACACTTAAAATCCCTCCCACCTTCCCCATTCTTCCTATCTTCCAAGTCCTTCCCCAAATTCCAGCCGAAGCAGTCCACGTAGAAGCCAGTCTTTCCTTGTCAAGGGCTACCATGCATATTCTATGAAAATCAGAACGAGGTGGAAGGCCTACTGTACCTGCAGGTAGCTGTTTCCTGCTGGGTCGTCCATAATAAAGTGGGCCTTCATCTTGCCCTCGGTGATCTACAAGAGAGAGGACATAGCAGGTAACTCTTACATTGATCTGGAAAGGAAGAGGCTATAGTTCCCAGACAAGAGCCAAAGAAGTTTACAAGGTGGAGTTCTCAAAAATTTAAAGAATAGGGAAAATAGGATGTACAAAAATGGCCACATCCTCTTACCTGGTCCAACTTCTGGCTAAACTCCTGCAGTTTCTCCGATTGGTCAGGATTTGAGCTATCGCCCAGCGTGAATGGGTTCTTGGTTACCTGTAGCCCGTGATAGCTGAGTTACTACAACACCAACTGTATGGGTTATTAGGCTAAGTATAAAGCAGGTGTGGAGAGCAGTGAGTGCCCAGAGTAGGCTGGTCTCCACCTCCCATGCT